TTTTTTTTTTTTTTTTTTTTTTTTTTCTTTATATCATATTATTCTTTATATCTCTTATCTTCTATTAATAATCAGTTTCACAATAACACGTAGAACTGTTCGGCCAACCATCTCAGTTGAACTTGCACTTGGAGAAATCCATCTCGGGATGCTGTTCCATGAATCTGCGGGACAAAATTTACGACATGTGAATTCGTTAGTTACGAACATCTTGGCGGTGAATTTACGACCATTTCGTACTTTTTGATCACGTCCTGCTTCTTCTGCTCGTCGGACGTTGGCAGGCCTAGCTCCTTCTGTCTCTGGTCGTACATCATCTTCTCCACCAGACCTCTAGTCTCACCGTCGAGATCCGAGAGTTTGCTAGGCTCAGGGTTCACTTTTTTCGTGCTGATCTCAAGGTCAGAGGTCACCACGTGCGCCCACCATTGCATTTTGTTCACCTGCGGAAAGAATCGGTGACTCTTGCCTTCAACGAAATGTTCGTTAAACGGAATCTGCGTAAATGCACGGTGAAATTGTTCAGAAGAAATGAAACTAAATAAAAATAAGTTGAATTGAAAGATATTACTTTCTCGGCCAACTTGCGATTGACTTTTCCAAAAGACAAAAGATTACAAGATCAACGAGTCTAGGAAAGAATATAAAAATCCTATCAGAGAAAGTTTTGCAAAAGAGGAAGGAGAAATTCTTCGCGGCTATGTAACTCAATAAACACAGGATCAGTCAACGAGATACGTGTCACAATCGGCCAATTATCGAGATACGAGCAACGTCACCGAATCTTGTCAGTTAGAGATCAAGCAGATAGTCGCTCGTTAAACGGTCACGACTTGACTTTTGCCAAAATTTTTCAACACGTTGGTTTGACGTTGGATTCAGTTCGATATCAGGATCAGTTTGATACAATCGGACAGAGTTCCTGCTAGCGATCGATACCATCGTCGAAATCCTCGCTTGGACAGGTTCACAGCGATGAAAAACGCGAAATCGACGTGTTTGTCCGACTGTCTCACCTACCTTCTCCAGGTTGATCAACAACATTTTTCCATCCTCGATCACCCACGTGGATTCCTCGACTTTGACTTCGTGTGGAAAATCACCGTCGATGATCGGCGGCTGACCCTTGATGCCGCAGGTCAACCGTTTCTTCATGATCGTCACCGAAACGTCCTTGGGCCTGGCCGAGAAGTTCACTTTCAAAGGTACTTTAATCTGAAATTAGACGACCACCAAGGTTTTACTCGCACAGCATTTTTCAATTCGCACAGAGCGCGAAGCGAATGACTTGGCGGATTTATATATATACATTAGAACTAGTTCAGATAATTACAGAACAAAAAGATCTCGAGAAGTTCATTGAGGATCTTGTGAGAAAGATTCTAAAAGCATCTCTCTATTAGAAAGTAACTGAGCTGATTTTTAACAGCATTGCGTGTCTGTATTTTTCAATTACATGGCTTTTCATCAAAAAAAAAA